ACCATTTATTTCTTTGAGAGTACTTTATTAGTTCGTTAGTCGTTGTATCCGATTCACACGTAACATCCTTCAGCCTTCTCCAGCGTCATATCTCTAAACCTCGGAGAAGATAAATATAATGCGATACTGAGGCCTGTGGGTCAAGAAATTATGACGATACGACAGAATAAATATACAAATCGTTATACCAGAAACTGTCCTCGTTAAAATATTAGGTGTAATATTATCACAACAAAAATCCTTCTTAAACTACGTGTAAAAATGGCTAAGTAAAAAAAAATATAAGATCTTTAAGCACTATAAAGATGTGATATCGTGAATAAATGCTAAGTATATTGAATTTGAGTAAACTTATTTTGTTTCAATAATTTTAGGAAGGAATTATTTCTTAAAAGAACCAAAGTGTGATGAACAAAATAATTAAACGACGAAGGACTATTAAAATATAACTTATTTTTATTTTAAAAATATTATTATTAATATTTATATAATCTTCTAAATAATTTCTCGCCAAGTAAATTAATTATTGAAACAAAATAAGTTTACTTAAATTCAATATACTTAGCATGTTCAGTGGGACACATTATCTTCTTGAAGAATAAAAAAAAAAATATTATATTCATAATTCATGATATTACATTTTTAGAGCGCTTAAAGATCTTATATTTTTTTTACTTACCTAGTCATTTTTACACGTAGTTTACGAAGGATTTTTGTTGTGATACCACTAATTTTTATCGTTAATAAATATTGAGTATTATATATTATATAATATTAAACATAATAATCTATAAGAACGGTAATATTGTTGGTAACATTGGCAACGCTGATGCGACGACGAAGACCGCTACCGTGGTCCTGAATTTAATATAAATGTCCATTAAAAAGTTAGCACTTATTCATTTATAACTTAATTTCCAAACGTACGATTTTGATGATTTTTACAAAAGCAAGTTCTACACAATATTTCTGATGTTTTGGAGTTTACTAGGGGCTAATTAATGAACTAAAAAGTTAGTTATGACTTATTAGTATTTGCCTGCATTTTACACAGTTTAAATAAGCAACTCCTGCTTCGATATAGGTACTATAGGTACATCACACACCGTCATACAAGTATTATTTTTTTTTTAATTACGACCGTGTCGCTGGATATCAATAATAATAGTGGTCTTTAGAAAAATTAACTCTGTATTTTGTATTAAGTAAATCTTGTATTGTACTTTATTGTTATTATTTGAATTTAAATTTAATGTCTAATTTGAGAACCTCTCACCTTCAACCCAAGCTTTTGCTTATAGGAGGTGAGCAAACTTACTACTGTATTTATTATATAATTGAAAATGTGTTGGGAATTGTTTGCAAATAAAATAAAATTTTTATTATATTATTATTGTTAACGCTCTCGTAATTCTAATGCTGCGGGCCGACGAGAACGATAAACATACTAGCTGGCTAGTAACGCACGTCGAAGTCTGGGAGATTTTATCGGAGATCGGTCTATGTGTTGAAATATTCTTGTTTAGCTCATTTGCAACTCTCGATTGAATCCAAACGTATACACGCACAAATATTATATCCGCTCAAAAATTTAATTATGGCAACAGAAAACTATGACATCGACCGCGCCGTGGTAAACATAATATTGATGGAAATACTGTTTTTGCCGACAAGATGGAAGGAGGAGCTCTTGCTGATAAAACAGAAGAAAGTCTCGTTGGTCTAGTCGCGCCAATCCTATCTGCCATTGAAACTTTCACCACTACTGGTGAAGTTCAGACCCTGGAGTCTGAGCCCGGAGGCTCGACTCTCGGAGGTGCAGTGGGTGAGGCGTCGGCAGAAGACGGCGAGGAGACCGTCTCCTCGCACGGTGATGGTGTGCCGGGCGGCGACGCGCTGTCGTCTGCTGCAGAGTCGGAGCTCACTCCGATCCCAACGACAGCACCACTCGGCGACGAAGGCACTGTACGGGAAGACGGAGATTCCAAAGTTTTGGAAGCAGAGGACCGTTCCATTTTGGGTCCAGAAGTGCCGGAAGAAAAGATTGAGCCCGCCAGGGGAGAAGCGGTGTTCAATAACTTTGGCGAGCTTGTCGGTTGGTTGGACCCGGCGGCCGAAGCACCCAGTCTGCTGCGATGCGCCTCCAAAGAGATGGAAGAGCTTAAGACGGTTTTTCGGCGCGCGGTGAGTGGTACGGAGATTTGAGTGCTGGGAACAAAGGGGCGTCAGCGGCGCCGGACTCGCAGAAACTTGACCGTTTCAGGGTCTGGCGGCGCGCGGCGGCCGAAGGGACGACGCCAGGGCGAAAATTACTGAGAGTCGAGGATCACGCTGTGGTCCACTGGCTCTCGCCTTTTCGCCCCGCGGTAATCCCACGTCGGCCGCTTCGCTCGTCCCCACCGGTTCCGCAACACAGAATCTCACTTCGCTCGCTCCGCGTCTTGGTCTTCGCCGTCCGTCGGCCGAGTCGTCACGACATCGCGCACTAGCAGCCATCCGTCGCCGTCAACCGTGGTCGCTCCCATGGCCGTCTCGGTCTGGCCTCGCCGGCTGGACAAGGTCGTCAAGCGTCCAAGCAAACCCGCCAGCGACACTCGTCAACCCGCAGGACAGGTCGGAGAACGTGCAGAGGTGACCAGTGGCCAGTAACCCTGCATTTCTGCACCAATCGCCATCTCGCATCCTCCCCCCCTTGTTTATTGTGTCTATTCTGTCCGTCGTATTTTTTTTTTTAATCTAAGTTATTCAAAATTCAAAATTGTTAAATTGTTCACACATATAAATTTCGATTTTTTTTTCTTATTTGCGGCCCTTTTGTTATAATAAACATTTTTGATGTGAACAAAAAAATATTGTTTCTTTTTTTTCGTTTTGTCGAATGTCGAGTGTACAATCAAATGTTACAGATTTAACGACTAAAAAATCGTTAAAATATATATTTTAAATAAAAAAACTCGTTGGTCGATTATACAGAGTAGACCTGCAGTATAAACGCTACACGGATATTATATAATATGTTCCAAGGAATATTTAAGCCATCCAACACTAAAGGCGACGAATGACTGAGAAATAAATCATAAAATCTGTATCTCGATCGTAAAATTCTGTGGAATAGGTATGAATAAAATAAATGCAATTAATAATTATTCGGTACTGCTTAGTATAATATTTATTAATTTATACTATTTTATAGATTGTACCTAGTGATTGTATTATTTACTTATATAAGTAAGTCTGAAGAGAAAATGTAGTAAGTACATTTTGATCTTTAGTTGTATCTAATATTATAATTTCATTGACCCTTTTACAAAAAATGAAACCAAAAATAATAATCCGTTAAAATTATGTAGGTACTTATTCATATTTTTAATTATTCACTTGGTTACTAGTAAATGTTCTGAAAAAAAAAAAAAATGCATTTGTGTGAAAGACTAAAATTGTGTATAGAGCATCGGCCAAAGCAACAACATACATTTGTATTGCTAACATATCTAGTATATTTTAGTATAAGATTATGGTGGACAATAGGTAACAAAATAAATAAGATAAAAACAATTTGAAACATAATTTATATAATTGCACTTTACCACAAACAATAAAATAACTATAGCGCTGTAAATAAAAATGTTTAACCCTCAATTATTGAAACCATAAAATTACAGTATAATTATTCAGTTGTTAGGTTAGGTTAGGAAACAAAATTTCAGAAAGTGAATCTTGATTAAAGGGTAAATAACAAATTTTAAAAAATGGTTTTTGGCTAAAGTTATATAGGTAGTTTTAACACCTTAATACCTTATTAAAGTCTTTAAACTTATTTAGAGACATCTGTAAGACAATAAAAGGTTTTTTTGAGTTGACTTTTAGTAAAGATCTAACAAATGACAATGGTGACCAAATATCTATTTTTTTTTATATGTTTCTCATTCTGTGAATATGCATTATCCACTTCTTGGATGCACGAGTGGCCTGGAACTTGAATACTTCATTGTAACTGATTTTGTTTTGGGATTTTTCAACATAAACCCAATAATGGCCGTTGACATTATCTTATTTCAGTTTTGTGGCACACAGCTATCAGACCATGTAACAATATTTAGTATATCCAAATTATTATCAACAATATGTTGTAATATGTTAATAAACGCACTTGCAAGGTCATTGCCCGATCTACCAACAATTGTTTCATTCCAAATAGCATAATATATAGTATTGGAAGTAGACAAATGAGCTGTAAGGTTATAAACATTTAATTTTTTTTTATAAAACGCTGGGCTGACATTTGTTTTTGGAAGTGTGATAAAATGTTGTAATACAAAACAAACAACTACATTTTCTTTTAATTTTTAAACGTCTTATAGAGAATTTTCCTGGCTTTCCGAATATATAGGTTTAATGCGGTGTCAAAATGAAATAATGAATTTCATGGCGCCATCTTGTGGTTGATGGTAGTACAATTGGTGAGTGCCCTAAATATAATAAAACGCAACTGTGCATACAAGGCCTGTTATCATTAGTCGTCCGAGTAAATAGTCCCCTAGGCCCATAGACATAATATAGATGGACTGCACGTTCCTCCCCCCTCGCCATCAATAAATTCAGCCATAATAACAAGACATGAGAAGGTAAAATAGCATGGATAAAACATTTTTACTGTTTTTATTCCAAGGTATATTTTGGTTTAAATAAGAGTGATAAATAATAAGACTATTGATTCCGTATTTCCGTATCATGGAGGAAAGCTGTTAGATAAACATTTTTCCATGATTATTTACCTTCTACATAAGTTTATTATTGCTGACATGATAAGGGCTGAACGCGCAGTCCATCTATATTATGTCTATGCCTAGGCCCTAGTTATGGTCCCACAACTTCACACATGTTTAATTTTAATTTTTAACCCTTTTTGTGATTTTACATAAAATAATAGTGAAATAATTGCCATTTTTCTATTAGTCAAATATTTTTTGTGTATTAATTAACTATTTTTTTTTATAAATATGGTTAAAGTTAATAAAGAAGCTTATGTACCACTTTTGCCTTATGATCTAGGATATGAAGAGACTATTTTACAAGTAATTAAATCATTAGATTATTTAGATAAAGTTGTTGAATGTGTATATGAACATGTAAGAGGTAATATTAACTCACAAAAATTGGAAATAGTTAAACTGAGTGATAAATTGAAAAACATAGGTAATAAAGTACAATTATTGTCAAACACCAAGAAATCGATTCAAGTTTATTCCAGTTCCAAATATCCTGCTACACATTTACAAAAAGATTATGAATATAGTTATGATTTTGAAATAAAATCTGATATCACAGACAATATCCAAGTTAGTCATCAAATATGTGCGTCCAATAATCCAACTGATAAACTTAAATTTTACCATGTTGATGACGAAAGTAAAAAGTTATCCAAAAATAGAGATATTATTCAAATGAAAGGTCTTGGCAGATTACCTGAAGGTATAAATTACATAAATTCCTTATTATTATTTAATTCAAATGAAAATTTATACAAAAATTATGTATTATCTAACCCCTATAAAGTTAAAATAACACAAACGAATAAACAAGTCGAAAAAGTTGAAAATATTAACAAACCCGTTTTTACATTACCATTAAACGACACCGAAAATCAGTTTAATTATTCTTATACGCCGGAATATGAAGAAGTTCCTTCTATTGATGTGCCGGCTGATTTACCCGATCTTCCAGGAATCGCAGGTGATGTACTATGTTTTAAAAATGAAGAAGAAGAAAACATTGGCACACCAATTGTTTGTAATCCATCTAGTGTAGTGGATCTTCCAAGTTTTGATGAGTTAGACGATATTAAAAACAAAGAAATAGTGTCTGATAATTTGATACAGACTGATAAAGAAATCATAAAACCGGTTGAACCTGAAGAATTGTCAACTGTTACATATAATATTCAAAATAAAATTGATCATAATATTGAAGATATTGATAACTCTATTAAAAAGGATCAAAATGTTAATAAAATATATAATGATAATATTAATACGCACAGTGTTCTAATGGACGAAATAAGAAATGCAGGAGGATTACAAAAAGCTAAATTGCGCTCAGTGGTCGATAGGAAAACAAACAATGAAATAATGCCCACTGGAGATGGATTAATGGCAGATTTGCATAAAAAGTTAGCGATGCGAAGGCAAGGGATTTCTGGTGATAATAAACAAAATGATAGCAGCTTAGAAGGAGTAATATACCGTATGGCTTCCACAATGTTACCTCCAAATCTCGAATCTGAAAGTGAAGTAGATGGTGACGACGACACAGAAGATGATTGGGATGATTGATTGCTCAATAGGTTTAATAAAAATTTGAAAATTTATATAGTTTACGATTTTTTTGTAATTATCTTTGTTTCCTTTACAAAAGTGTATTTTAATTTTGTTGTATTATCGATTGTTTATTCACCTAATTGTGAAGTTGATTGTTGTCAAGTTGTCCTATATATTTAATAATGTTACATTGATATTCAAATCATTTTAAACCAAACATTCTCTTTTTGAATATTTATAAATACAGAATTTAAAATAAATACAATTATAAATTATAATTATAGTAATATAATTTACTTACCTATATGTTACAGTTTCAAAAACTGGCTAGGTAGCAGGTTATTATTTAGAAATATAAAACTATTAAGGTTTAAATATGAACATATTTTTAATTACAATTAAAATAATTTTAAGTTTATAGTTTAAATACAAAAAATATTAAAGGGTCATACTACATACATTACAAAATTTTATATGAAATTTACAATTTTTTTCTTTATACAATAAGAATTATTATTTCATTAAATAGTATACAATAATAGACAAAAAACATATATGGTTTTTAGTAATTTAAATTATTAAATTATGTACCTAATAAATGTAAAACAAAGTAATCAAATTTTTGTACCTAATGATTTCTTTAATCTGAAAAGATAAAATTGATATTTAAATATATTTTTGTTTTGTAACTTTTGTAGTTCAACAAACATTTTTCCTAATTTGAAACATCGATTTCAGCATTATTTTTAAAAAATACTGTGCAATATAATGAATAAAATTGTAATTAATATAATTAACAGTTACTGTTATTCATTTTCAAATAAGTAAATTCTATTTTTATTTTTTTTTAACTGTGAAATGTAATATGAATATTAGGTATTTAATTTAAATTTTTATATTATTATATATTAAATTAAACTAACTAAAACATTTATGTGTATATAATTTAAATTTTACAAAATAAATAATTAATCAGTCGTTTAGTTAAGACATTTGTTGTAATTGGTCATGAAACTCAGTAAATAATCTTTGAGTGCTTCTCGAACCAGCTATAATTCCTAATACTTCTCTTAAAAGTTCATGTTTTGACATACCAATGACTGTTTCAACTTTTTTATGACTTGAATAACCATGTGAAACTCCCAACAAATCCTGACATAAATATCTTAATCGATCATTGTCTTCTCTTTCAATTAAAAAAGAAACGTAAGTCATTAACCAATATCTGTACTCTTTATCTGATTCCAAAGCTAAAGCTGCCGACATCTGTTGTTCCAAAAATGATTTTGAACACAATTCACTTATCCCTTCAGTGTCCTTAAAATCTAAGTTTGATTTATACTTTGAAGAATATGCTTGCATGACACTCAGTGGATACTTGCCACTAGTTTTATTTAAACCAATGTGTTTATTTTTTTGAGAAGAATTTGAATATATACTATCTCCACTATCCCCGATCATCATCCAACATTTTGCACTTATAGAAAACATATATGATTTACCAGTAGTTAATGTGATGATTGACGTTCCATTTTCAGTCAACATACATTTTTGTACATTTACTGGCTTATTTTTATTCGAACAAACCAATGTGTTGAGTTTTTCTTCATGTAAGACACATTCTTGTTTGTATATGTTCCAAACAGAAAGAGAATTTTGTGTCATGCATAATAAGTAGTGATTATTGGAACTAATAGACGTTACTAAAGACGATAGTACATAGGGAGGACATATTAATGATCCATTTTTTGATCCTATCACATGAATAGTACAATCATTTAATGCCACAACTATTAATGATAAAGTTTTATTCGTACAATATTTTACTACACTTGAACTAAATACTTTTTCCCAAGCAACTAAATTATTACTATAGACTTTCATTTTAGAAATAGTCCCATTTATTGTTTTACATTTATCGTTTTCTACAACAACTCTATCAGTGCATATGTTCGAAATCGTGAATTTTCTTTTTTGCATTGCAGTTTGACCAAAATTAGGTCGGACATCCGATGAAATGTCATTATCTTCTAAATTATTAAATTTAATTTTTTTAGTGGAAAATAAATTTGATATTAATGCTACGGGTTCTGGCCTTTTCTTGGATTCTCCTCTAGTGGGAGATATTTGTAAAACAGATGTAGGAGTGCTTCTTGGTATTGTTGAATCAATAATTGTTGGAGTTTGAGATTCTTGACTAAAGTTACTGCAACTGTTGCTTATATTAGGCTCAATAATATTATTCACTCTTTCAACAACTACTTGACTTTTACACTCACTAGATGACGAAAACGGTAAGACATTAATTTCTTCTGCATTATCAGGTGTTGGTGGTATAAAAATGGGTGTAATACGTCTACGTCCATCAGATGTGCGAGTTTCAATTTGTTTTTTCAAAATCGGTGGTAAAGGTTTGATTACATTTGGAGAAGGCTGTTTGATTTCTTTTTTAGGGTCAACCTCTCGGACTTCTGACTGTTGTATACCATTCATTTTTAGTATTGCTGGATTTTCTATAAGTAAATTGTTGTTGTGGCGTTCTAAAGGTGAGATACCATACATTTTTTCAAATATTATATTTTTATCTTGATTACTAAGTGCTTTTCCAATATCTTTTGGATCAAATATTAATATTGCTATGGTTCCATCATATGAACAAGCATACAAGTTTAATCCATTTGTCGACCAAGATAAGTCTAGCACAGGACCTTGAAATAAACTTTCAAGAACTACAACTGGTCTCTTTAATCCTGTTTGCCATACTGATACATTAGTGTCCCTGGAGCCTACAGCACATAAACACATATGATGATTCTTCTTACCAACTTTACGCTCCATTATTGAATTACTAAATCTCACACAATTTACAGCTTTTCTATGTCCCACATAATCTTTCTCATATGTCCAACCATCTCTTTCAATAACTTTAGCTACAGGACCATTGTTGTTCATGGCATGAGCCGATACTAAGTATTGGCCATCTGGAGACCAGCTATGCCGTAGTACAGATGTATTTCCACCACAGTCCTTAAAGGGAGTCGTAACAATAGTATCTGTTTTCCAATCAGATGTTCTCCATATTCTTAAAGTTTTGTCGTCTGACTGTGAAGAAATATATTTACCGATTGGGTCCCAAGAAACTCCTTTTACCAGACCAGTATGTCCAGAAAGAACTTTATGGATAGATGGAAATTTTTTAGCATCCCATATGATAATTGTGTTGTCCACCGAACATGATGCCAAATATGAGTCATGGGGTGACCACGCAAGATCGAGAATATCACCTGAGTGTGAACGTAAAGTGAACATACATTTCCACGTTTCGATATTAACAATATTTTTGGTGCCGAATACAATGTTTCCACTATTAGGATATTTGCTCAATGTCCACACCATGATGATTTTATCGTCCCCACCAGACGCCAAAAATTTGCCCGAGTGACTCCATCGAACGCAATTGACACTTGCTAAATGGCTGTCAACCTAAAATAATTTAACTTTAATCGATTTTTCAATAATTTATTTTATTACCGACTTCAAAACATTTTGAACCCCTCCCCCCTTGTTCACGATAAAGTAACCACTCACCTGGCATAACATTTTTGGTACGTTCTCGTCGTTTTCGCTGTTTTCGTCCAGCACTGCGGCCGTGTTCCATAGCATGACCAGTCCAGAGTCCCGGCCCTGGCCACCGGTAGCCAGACGAGTACCGTCTGGATGAATGTCGATCGAAAATATGGGCATACCATTGTGAGATATCCATGACGGTTTCAGAATAATCATCGTGTAGGATGGCGGGTTTTGTTCACAATTTTTTCTTCACACTAAATCCGTTCATAGTTAACAGTTTGAATGGCATAATATTGTATAGCTAGGAACTTGTGAGACAGTTAAGAAGCGAGAAGATTTTTTTATTTATTATCCATTCGTCTCTCGCCTCTTGCACTTTGATATTTTTTTTTTTTTTACCGGGAATTATATTTCATGTTTTTGTTATTCGTTTCCGTCAACGGCGTCAACGCAACGTTACGGACATCATGTACGTCGGTATTGTTCGTAACTACACCACTAAACCCGTTTTATCCCTCCCACAGCACGATTTAGGGAATACTTATCTGAGGATGTCCCAAAGACATATAAAACAACAATGTTAATTATAATATTAAATATTTATATTTTTTTTAAATATTTATGCCGGGTTGCAAAAAAGTACAAAACATTTAACGAATAAATTGGTCCATTAAATTTAATAAATTGTTTATGCAACCCAGGGTAAATATAGGTACTTTATTACTTTACCGGACCCCTTTTTTAAAAATTGTTTTTTGTTTTAGACTTGTGTGGTTAACTAACTTAACTATACGTCTATACTGAAAACGATGGTGAAGTCAGAATTTGGCGGTCGGGCTTAGTTTTGGAGTTATGGGCGTTATGGCCTAATGAAGTTCTCTATTTTGCGATTTCTACGCATTCGCGCATCACTCCATAGTTTACTGCGCCTTTACGAATATTGATATTTTTATTTTAGATTCTGAGTGAAACGATGAATGTATTGATTTTACAATGATGTGTGCTTTTTTATTATTTTTTTTATTTTTTTGTGTCTGTGTACACGATAAGTAGTCGAAATAATGCTTCTATTTTCGACTTCAGTATCTTTTTCAATTGGAAAATGAATATCGTTGGTGCATTGGGGAGGTCAAAATATAAAATTCCCAGTACTTTTCAAAAGCGCCAAGAAAAACAAAAGAAAAATTAAGGAAAAACGGAAATTTTTACGCAAAATCGATTTTTCAGAAAATTAAATTTGGTTTTTGGTGTAACTTTAAAACAAATAACCGTAGCTACATGAAATTTCAACTGGTTGTTTATATTTGCATTTTCTATACACGATAACGTTTTCAAAATATTTTGATTTATTTTGAACTGTTTAGGGGCATTTTCATTTTTTTTTAGTTTTTTTTCTAGAAATATCAATAAAATTTTATTTGTTGGTTAAAAAAACTTGAAAATTTAATAGAAGGCTCCTAGTATATTGTTTCAAAGGCAGATGAAAATTATTAAAAATCGTTAGTCACAGTTTTTTTTTATAAGCATTTAAAGTTCAAAAATTGACAAAATTTTGAAAAATCACGAAAATTAGCAAATTATTTTGAGTTAAGAATTCGTAAAAATGTTTCTTTTTAAATCAAAGATTTGAAAATGTAATACAAGATTACTCATAAGTTTGTCTATCTTTATCAATAAAAAAATCTCTACCGGACAGTCAAATTAAATTTTTATGAGCGTTTGAAATTCAAATTTTTACAACATTGGATGTTCACTTGATTTCTCATGTAGCGATTTCCTTATTTGGTTGTTATTCATAAATAATTTTCATTTTTCAATTTTTTTTAGATTCTGAGTGAAACGATGAATGTATTGATTTTACAATGATGTGTGTTTTTTTTTTTATTTTTTTTTTTTTTTATTTTTTTTTTATTTTTTTTGTGTCTGTGTACACGATAAGTAGTCGAAATAATGCTTCGATTTTCGACTTCAGTATCTTGTTCGATTGGAAAGTGAATATCGTTGGTGCATTGGGGAGGTCAAAATTTAAATTTCCCAGTAGTTTTCAAGAGCGCCGGGAAAAACAACATAAAAATTAAGGAAAAACGGGAATTTTTACGCAAAATCGGTTTTCCAAAAAATCGATTCTGGTTTTTGGTGTAACTTTAAAACAAATGACCGTTGATACATGACATTTTCACTGGTTGTTTATATTCGCATCTTCTATACACGATAACATTTTCAAAATATTTTGATTTATTTTGAACAGTTTAGGGATATTTTCATTTTTCGTTTTTTTTTAGTTTTTTTTCTAGAAATATCAATAAAATTTTATTTGTTGGTTGCGAAAGCTTGAAAATTTAATAGAAGGCTCCTAATATATTGTTTCAAAGGCAGATGAAAAATATTAAAAATCCTTAGTCACAATTTTTTTTTATAAGCATTTAAAGTTCAAAAATTGACAAAATATGGAAAAATCACGAAAATTAGCAAATTATTTTGAGTTAAGAATTTGTAAAAATTTTTCTTTTTAAATCTAAGATTTGAAAATCTAATACAAGATTACTCATAAGATTGTCTACCTTTATCAATAAAAAAATCTCTACTGGAAAGTCAAATTAAATTTTTATGAGCGTTTGAAATTCAAATTTTTACAACATTGGATATTCACTCGATTTCTCATGTGGCAATTTCCTTTTTTTGTTGTAATTAAAAAACGAATTACTGTAGATACATGAAAATTTCACTGAATGTTTATATTAGCATTTCCTATACACCATACAATTTTGAAAATATTTTGACTCTTTTTGAGCTGTTTACGGACATTTTCAGTTTTCAATTTTTTTAGTTTTTTTTTTCCATAAATATCAATTAAGTTTTATCTGTTGGGCCAAAAAGTGTAAAAATTTAATACAAGGCTCCTGATATATTGTTACAATATCAGTTGAAAAATATTAAAAATACATAGGCACAATTTTTTTTTATAAGCACTTTAACATCGAATTTTGACAGAATTTTTCAAAATCTCGAAAATTATTAATCATCGTAATTAATAAATTATAAAATGTTCAGTTTTTATAGCTAAGGATTGAAAATTTAAAACAAGATTCTACGTAGGTAAGTAGTTTATTCTCTTACCGAAAAATCTAAAGAATATACAATCACAGTTTATTTTCATAGTCATTTTATGTTCAAATTTAGACAAAATTTCATATTTAAACCAAGAATTACGATTTTAGTTATTTTGTTGTGACTGTATAATATTATTCGTGGGTACTTGAAATTTCTAAAGTAATCTACTATATATATTTATATCTATGATAGTATCAGGGTTTGTTGTTGGTGTATAACGCGTTATAAGTACCTAATGGATATTGTGATATGATTAATTTGGAATTCATTATAGATCAATTTTTTTTAATACCATAGATATGTATATAATATGTCTTATACCTAGAAGGACATACCGTCTCCGCTCAGAATGGTTTTTCTTATACAATGATATTATATCATTGAATTCAAGTTTAATACCATCCATTATACAATGACCCACTTGTAACCTACTGTACAGCAGAGCGACACCCACTTGCCCACCTTTTTTAATATTTATATTATAATTTTCAAACATTAGGTAACAATAATATTTTTTGCTGAATACATTTATATTATACATATTACATATATTATAATACATCCCCGAAATAAAATATTCCGTTTCCTAATAATATTTTAACGATATGTATATCATAGCCCATAGGCAATATAAAAAAAAAGTTTAAATTAAAATTAAAAAAATTAAATAATTAGGTAGGTAGGTACATTTTTTTCCAAAAAAAAAAAATAAGAAATACAGTTTTGTTTTTAAAGATTTGTTAATATTTTAGGAAAGAATTGAATAATTTATTTTGATGGGGTTATTACAATTTTTGTGGGGCTAAGCCCCACCCCTAGCCACCCCTAGTTAGGCTGATGCCGGCGGCAGTGTAACTGCCTGAACTCTGAAGGACCATAGAGACATAGTCAAGGTGGATTGAATCCACCTTGCATAGAATAATATATAAATGACTCTATAGGAATAGGACACTGGTTATTGGGGTCTAGGACAGGCTGCTCAGTGTTCACTGCACAATGCACACTGACACTGTACAGTCACTCACACGACAGTCACTAAAGTTTCGTAGGTACTCATCTCGTAGGTATAGGTACCTACTAAAAATTAAGATGGAATATTTTTGACTCTTGTAACTTATATTATAGTATAGGTATATACTATATACTACATTTAATATTTATGTATTTATTCAACGTACCTACTGGCGGCAGGCTAACGGTTTTTCGCTAAATATGTCTGAACTTGTCGAGAAAAGAACAACAATGAGATTTGATTATTTATTTTTAAATATTGATCGTACATTCGTACTTCGTAATCAGTAACACAGTGATGGATCATAGGTATAACATTAACATGAATGTATAATAATATGGTCAATGAAAAATTAATAAATTAATATATTTTCATTAAACCTGTGATATGGTCATGAACATTAATATCCTATATTATTACTATCATGATCGAGAGAAATTTAAATTTGAAAAGTAATTTTAAATCGAGACCATATTGAGATATTATATAATACTACTTACTAGTATAGCAGTATAATATACTATATTATAGTTATATAGGTAGGTAGGTACTAGTATAATAGTATGTAATAACTAGGGCTCGGATTTAAATGCCCTAAAAATATCAAAAAAATGACGTTTCAAAAAATGCATTATTTATTAAATAAATTCAAATTTAATTATTATTAAAAAATGAGGAACAAAGTAAGTACCTTCGACGTAATACGCAACACGAGTACACGACTGAAAGCGTCCGACAATCGGCCACGCGCACCACCGATATAATATTATCGCTCGATAAGAAAATAATCCGATAATATCGGCTAATTGGATGGTGTGACATAAAGGTTGTAAAAACCGGAAAACCTGATGTTAAATTAGTTCAAATAGTTCAAAATGAAAATAATTTTTATTACGTAGTACTATATTACTATGTAGTACCTACTTATATTTCAATGAGGTCAATTTTTTTAGGCATAATACGACAAATAGGTCAAAAATGTCCTTAAAAATTAAAAAATATGCATTTAAACCGTCAAAAAATGCTCTAAAAATGATGAAATCCTCTAAAAATGCAAAAAAACAAAAAAATGCCCCAAAAAATTATTATGGTTGGATTGCGAAGTACTTGAAACATATTTGTAGCTTGGAAAGCATCGCGTAAGATATCCCAAAAAAAAATGCAAATGCATTGAAATCCGAGCCCTAGTAATAACTAATATGATATATCTGTATTCTGCGATCAGGACCGAGATTCGGCCGATTCGGGATGTACATTATTGTACGCACTATATAGTGCACCATGCGAACAGCCCGATTGCCCTAACAGCAGCCTGCAGCACACGATGGATTCTATATATTTCTAACATGACAAATTAAATTAAATTTGTCATGATTTCTAATTTCTATCCTAAACCGTTCTACAGCTGCAGCAGCGGCCCGCGGTTCCTCTGTCGAGGTAACCAATTAATATTTTTAAGTATTTGAGGTAACCTAGGTATATAATGGTATAACTTCATCTGTTTCCCACTATCAAATTTATTTTTTTGCCGCCATAACCACATTATCGGCTGTATATTCTTTGGTTCGAGTCTCGGTCTCACGAATTACCACTTATGCATTCGTGTGATTAAATTGACCGGTTGTAACTACCGCACAAACCATTACTGTGTGTACTTTTTTATATTAAAACTATCAGCCACTTATTTAGACATCTTTTTCGTCAACGCTTGAACTAACCTTGATCTCAGTTTTCAAAGAATACCACCCGTCAGGTAAGAAATAATTGACATAATATTATTATATCGATCAGGGATGGCATCAAGTATCAACAACCGTCAACCAATGATCCGTGGTTTATAACTATATCTTGTGTAACGTTTCGAATTACGTACTATAATAGTATTCGTTCGATAATGTTGATCCGCACTATTTTGTTTGAAAGACAAATTAGCAGTTAGGTATATGATTGACGTTACAAACGCTTCAATAATCAATTATATCGTCATTCCAATCCACTTATTTCTCAACTCTCATCCATACTCATACCTGGTAATCCCCAAAAGAGATTAAAAATACAGTGGTGTCGTGACCTGCTCACATGAGTATATTATTATAATTCATTTGTGTAAAAAAAAAGCGTAAATGCAATTATAACTATCTATTGATGAAGTACTTCCACTGGGAGGTCACTTCACTGTGTACTTTCCTGTACAAATGTTATTGTTCAACTTTTGTAATAGACTGCATAGTAAAAAAATTTAAAAAAATATATGATTGATGTTAGCCTTGTCACTGAGTACCGATAAATATGAATCTTATTGTTACCATTAATAATATAATATGTTATAAATACCTAGTTTAATGATATATTAATATTGCTATGTAATTTATTGTAAATCATACATTTATAAAAAAAATAGTTGTATTTTAATTTGGAACTTACTTTCCTAATAAAAATTATAAAATGTTTTTAGTTTTCAAAATGTGGGGCGACGATGAAGGTGGGTTTAATGTCACAATGACACAAAGTCCATCGACAGCATCTGGAGTTGAACCAAAACAAAATACTGTAATTTCTGTAGCTATTCGTGAATTGTTTGATAGTAATGAGGAAAACAAAAATACACATGTTGTAGTTGTTGGAATTATCAAGCAGGTAAAACCACTATTTATTTTATAATAAATACATTAACTTGGAAGTAAATTTATATTAAAATTTTTTTCTTGTGATTTGTAGGTTGAAACCCAAGCCTTAAAGAATATGTTTACAATTGAAGACAATACTGGTCGTTTGTTGTGCATCCAATGGGGAGATGAGAACGAATTGTCAAGATATCCAAAGTTGATTGAAAACGCATATTTTAAAGTAGTTGGTAGTAAGAGAATTCAAAATGACAAAGTTACTTTGCTTTGTCATAGTGTGAGACCTTTAGAAACTCTAAATGAATTAACACATCATTTATTAAGCATTATTGCGTTACCGTATGTAACCGAGGAAATCAATATGGTTAGAATAATTGAGTAACTTGTAAAAAAAATATTGGTTTTGTTAATTACCTGTTTGATTTTCATAGGCTAGCGGTACACAACAGTCTACTGCAACAAACCAAAAGGACTTTTTAATGAGTGGTGATAATACTAATGGATTTACGGATACTACTAACAATTTATCGTTGAACCCGAGGCAATTAAAAGTTTATACAGTAATAAAGAGGTGCCAGGATGAGGCAGGTTATTCAGCATTAGATATTCAAAAGATACTTCCAGAAAAAATGCCATTACCAGAAATAGAAAAAATTCTTTCGTTTTTCATCGAAGAGGGACATATCTTCTCAACCATTGATGAGAATCATTACAAAGTCACTGATTTCGGAGGTTAACTGTTCAGTTTTAAGGTTTATTTTAAAAATTGGAAACTGGAGTAAGTTATTATTTAAGCACAATAATTTTAATGTACAATGTCACTAATACAGTAAAGTTTTATTACTAAAAATAATCAATACATTTTTATTTTTTTAATAATAAAGATAATAAACCATAACAAGTTATTTTTCACACAAAAGTTTTGCAACATTTTATATATCCTAAAAAGTAGCATACAGTTATAATAAAATTGAGTTGGAATGCACTAAGATTGATGATGATGGAGTCTTTTTCCATTGTCAAAACTTGACAGCCGTGGATAATTAACAAACTCTTTTCCGTAATAAAATATTAACGACAATACACACATAACCATTGTGCCCCAGAATAGAAGGAATATATATGTTCCAGTGTTGTATTCTAACAAACAGAAACATAATATTATTACATTTAGTTTATGATAAACAGTTTAAAAATGTATCACTAACCTGAAGTAAACACTGCATTTGCCATGAACATTGCTAGTGCGATCATTAAAATTATTGGATACTAAAAAATAAAAAAAAACATAAGTACATAGCATGTTTTATACACCTATATATAACCTGTATTAAATAATCTATTATAATATAATAGGTTTGTAATTCTTAACAACATTTATTTGATCAAAATTATTTATACCGAAATCCAACTGAAATATTATATTAACAAACCTACGGCAGTCTATTTAAGTGGCGTGCAACAATATCATATTATTGGCTATGTAGGGTCTTACATTCTAATGCTTTAATTAAAATATTATTCCAAACAATATGAATCAATAATTGACTAAAATCCTCAAACACAACATTTAGTAGTATATTATTACTATATTCAATTTAAGAGGACACAATATGTGTTGTCTCCGTCTTGTACCTACTAACGTATAACATTGCAAATTTATGTTATGTAGTTCCAACTATGTATTGTTAATTTTAATATTTTATTATTAGAAGAGTGTTTAACCTATTATCAAACTTAAAAAATAATTGATAATTTGTTGTTGTTTTTTTGGTTTTTCCAATGTTTTTTTTCTTTAAGCAAGAAAGAAGAGTTTGTGAAATGCCACAAATTACAAATGCTCATATTATATTGCTTCAAAATTATAACGATATAAAAAAATTAACTTGAAAACAAGTTGTGTTCTTATCTGTAAGTTTAATATAGGTCAATTCACTCTATACTCTGTTCAAAACAAGAAACGCATACAGTGGCCGACTTGTGTGCAGGGACGTGGCAATACTACATGGCTGGTATATAGATTGGTGACCAAACCTGGTCGTATGCATTTTTCTTATTTCGAACAGAGTATAATATTAAAACTGATATCACAACATTGGGCCTGATGAATGAAAATGTTTTATGTTACTTTTTAATCTAATGTTAAAATTGTATTAACTGAAATAAAATGAAATAATACTATTTAGTATTTACTATTACGTTACTAAAAAAAAGCTATTACATTACAATAATTTGCAATTTGCTTTAAATTATTAATTATTACCCAAGACTTGCAGTAACATGGTATATTGTATATAATGCAATCCGGAACAAGTAACATTAATTTATAACTTACCATAAAATATTTAAGGGCCGGTTTGACTTCTAAAGGACATGATAAAGATGCACTTTCTTCTGCATTTACAACATAATTTCCCAAAACAAGATCAATACTATCCTAAAAATAACATAAACAAAATTTGTATTTTATTATGATTTAAAAATTACACTATCTAAACAATATTAATATTTTATTAACTTGGCGAACTCCATCTCTGAGATTGTTTTTGTAATATCGCAATAGTGAGTTTTTTAAATCTCTAAACATTCCATTATAAGTCCTTTTACCAGTTCGCGTAAAATCAGTTTTTAGGGCTCCTGTTCCAGAGTATTGAATTGATATTATATCAGCATGGTCAGCCCATACTGATTTGAATAAACTTTCGAAATCTAATTGATCTTCAACTTTTTGTCCAAAGTTTAATATGTCCATTTTCTTAAATAATTATAAAATATTTTATTTGAAATTTTACATCTAAATATTTAATAAATTTAAATAATTTTACCTGCAACATAACAGTCAACATTCTACGGCCTAATAAACTTTGTACAACATTTGTTCGATCTAAACAGTCAACACAGTTTGTTCTAAATACTCCTTTTTGTAAGATAAGCAATTTTCCATCAGATCCGAGAAGAAAGTATTTTAAATTATCTTGCTCGTGGGCTACTCTATTAACCAAAATTGAAAGTCTATCCCATCTCATTTTTTTACACTCACTATGAAAATCAAATGCTTCATATTTAATTTTATTATTGTCCAACATAGTAACAATATCATGATAATTGCGTTCCAATTCTTGCTCTGCACCTCTATGATCAATCTTTTATTTTCATTATTACTAATTAGTATTAATTTAAAAATAAACAAATCTTAAAAAAACCATTTTCATTACCAAGTTAATCAAAATTTGTTGACCATAAATAGAAATCTGCTCATTAAAGTGAATGGTAGCTGCTTCTAAATGGTTTTCATTTTGAGCTATCTGCATTGCGGGCTTATATTTAAGTGTTGGATATTGAGCCCAATATAAAGGAATTGATCCACGTGTCTAAAGAATCAACTTAATTAAATACTGATAAATGATTATCATTGTAATAAGAATTAATATACCTGAACATAAGAACTCTTAGTGTTATTATATTCTACTATCATTTCTGTCTCAACAAAATTGGCAACATTTCCATTCAGATCAATACCACGTTTTAATAATCTTGGGCCATGACGATTTCGTGAACGTCTAGATACTACTGTCCAAACAAAATCTTTTCCATTTAAAATGCAATTATTTATAGCAATAACTGAAATTAAAAATAATTTACATAAACTTATGAATACTTATTGGTTAAAACTAATAAATTCCTTAAAATCAACAACTGATAATATATTTTAATTATGTACCCATTTATATTTTATACAGAGTAATTTCACTAAGACTACTTTATTAAGTATAGAAATAAGTTTTTTAAATTTGTGTATAACATAAGAAAAATTATACTGTGAGGGCTCTATTATTTATATAAAAATAAAAAATATATAAAAAATTGAATACTTATATTATTGTTTTCTATTAATTTTTAAAATATATTTGTAGTCCAGCTGAACAGGGTTAAATCTCAAAAAACCTACTATCCCCCGATACAGTACCTATATACCCAATAGTCAATAGGTATTCAAATACTCAATAGTGACCAAAAAATACAATATTATACGAAAAATAGGTCAGAACATCTCTCATTTTATTAACTTACATCCATGAATGATGGGAACACAAAACTCATGATGCTCCATACAAAAATTCTTCAATAAATAATGATTCCACAGAAATCGCTGATCTGCTCTTTCATACATTGGTATCTAAAATAAAGAGAAAAATATGTTAACATTTTAATCATTAATGAAGAATAAAGCGGAATCTAGGCAGTAACATTAAAATTAAAACAAAACAAAAGTTTGTGCTTTTAGTAACATTTTAGATAGTTCAGTCTGTGATGGCTGATGGGAAAGTTAATTTTTTATTCACTATTTTACTTGCATTACATACATTCATCACAAAACTATTAATATTATATTATTCACTATACTCTGTCCCACGAGAGAGTAGATCTGGCAGCGATCAAAAAGCGTTCATTTCCGCGCATCCCCACCATTTTACTGGCCAGATCGCCACCCGTCAGACCGCGCCGGTTTCGACGGCAGGTCTGTACCATAGACCAAAGGCCACATGGCCTCGCAACGTTGAACAAATTCATTTGGATGCACGTGGCGGAACTACTCTCTCCTGGGACAGAGTATAGTCCTTTCAGGTTTCAACTAGGTAATACAAACTGTTATTTTAAATGTCTAGTATTTAGATTTTACACATAAATATAAAAACTTAAATTTGTGTAAAATTATCGCATAAGAACATAACCCAAGTGGCGCAACTAGGGGGGGTTAGCCCCCCTGACTACAATTTAGCCCCTCACAAATATTCCTTATTGATTTAGATATAAGCTGCTTATGGGTTATTTAAATTAATAGTTTTGTTAGGTGGGCTGTAGGACTGTAGCACTCAGAATTTTGACCCTATTTGCGCCTATGCATAACCCACAATATAATAAAGTTTTACTTCACCAGACTTAGAAGAAAGAGGCATTAGCAGCGAGTTTGTAAAGCTGTCACTACACCCAATTTGAATGTGGGGGTGACATCAACAAAACTGGTAACATAATTTGGTTGGATAGAATAGAACGCCTGAGTGGTTAATAGATTATATAAATGAAACTTATAAATAAAACGTTTACCAGAAAGTAATTTTTAATTGTGTATTCCCAAGGGTAGTGGTAGATAATATACATTTCTAACTTTGCTAAATTACAATAATATTGTTTAGATCTGTAATGATTATTAATACAACTTTTAATAATATATTTACTGTATATTTTTTAAGCTTACGTTTACAAATGATGTTGAAGTGTTATACAGCCTCTGCATAGTGTGAGTTAAATCATATGTATATGAAAAATAATAATATGGCGTATTAAAAGTTTGCTTGATCATGTTTAAATATTCAATATCCATTCGGTCCTATTGAACATAAAAATATTTTTATAAAATTGTATTAGGTAATACAATTTTGAGTGTAAAAATATAAAATGTATATGTACTTGTGTTTCGTTTAAATGAAGTTTAGTTTTAGGTATAGGTAAAATATCAATGTCTATCAATTGCCATATGTCATGACCGTTTATTTTACCAACAAACTTTTTTTTTTTTATTATGATAATATAAGGACCAATTAAAAGTTTTACGACACCTAATATTCCAGCAATTGTTTGGCTTTTACTTTCTGTCGGTATTTGACCATTATTTGCTGAAAAATATTTTAACCCGGTTAAATAATTAAATATTTTAACAATTTAATAGATACAATAA